TGATTGCATGTCAGCTAAGTGTCACCTTATGTCTAAAAGGACATAAAAAGGTAGATAAACTGAATGTCGATGGATTATCCCCTTGACTGTATCCCTGTCCACAATTTCTCATTGACCTCAGGAAGACAAATGGTCACTGAAGGGTCAGGTAACATTAGCAAATTAAGGAACAATGTACAAAAATGAATTAGGTTGATGCTGGAACAGCATTTTACAAGATCTGCAGTTGTGTTTTGTTGTATTGCAGAGCTGGCTGGGATAACATTCACGGATCTTGAGAAATCTTTGGAGGAATATGGAGTGTAATAACTTGTCAGAATCTAATAAATATGTCCTGCTAAATGGAATTAATATGTAACTGTCACTGTAATAAATTACTAAATAATACCTGTTTACACATTAGCACAACACATTCCAACATTTGTGTTATGGTTTATGTTAACTACTAAGAGAAATTTTGTAAGATACAGGGATACAGATGTAGGAGCAAGCATTATAAAAGTATGCAAATGCACTTATGAATGAAGAGAGGTGAAGAAGATTATCTAGTCTAATGAAAATGTTCATCACAAGCTCTAATAATGATTACATACAAAAAAAATAACATACATATAAAGACAATATAAACTATTGAGTTTTTCCCATTCTCAAAATACATGACATACATCTGTCATCAATCAGTCAATCAGTCTGCAAGGCTGTACATTTAAATGGCCAACACTTTTTAAAATTTCCTGAAAGTTGGGACATTTTACTCTTGAAGTCAAAGCATTTATTCTTTTTATTTAATATCTCATTATCAACAACATGTAACTTTCTTATTGGTTTGTGAACACAAACCTGGTAATTGCAGGCGCACAGTAATGATAAGAGCAAGCTTTTTTTGGTCTCGTCAGCTCATAAAGTTCCTGATATATTGATTATCTGTCCTGCAAATCACTTTTGATATTAAAAACAGTGATCCTTTGTAGAACATTTCTTCCTTAGGTTATGTCAAAACTGCACTGATAGCTTGTGTCAAATCTGGTTTGCAATTTCTTTCCATCCACATATATTTTCTTGAAATGAAGTTGCTTTAATCTAAGACTAATAGATCTGCCCATAGCATAGTATGACAGTGTTAACATTGATAACTTACCAAGTGCATAAGAATAGAATAATTTTAAATGTGTAGCTACACATAAGATCAGGCCCACCATTAGGAATTATGGACAGGAGGACAGCATTTTTCAAACTGGGCCCCTCATCGACACCTACTCCACACCATCTTAACCCACCCAACCTTAGTTCTAATACACATGGGCAATTTCAAAGAAGCTCTTGTCCTTAGCCTTATAGTGACACAGATGGAGTCCCTAACAGCCTTTTCCAAATTCAGTGTTTTAGACTCATGCTCGCATTCAATTACTCAACATAAAGCACAAAAGGTCAATACGGTTATTTTTAATCTTTCAAATTAGACTGTGACAATAATGTTCCTCCCTTTAACTTAAAACGACAAGGACAGAAAAAATGCCCTTTAATGCTGGAGTGATTAGAGAAAAGTAAAATCAAACTTTGAAAAATTTACTGCAAAGAATTAAATCATAAAATCAAATTATGAGAAAACAAATAAACATACTTCATCTATCATATTCAATCTTGAGAGCTAGATTAATCAAAGTATTGGTCAAATTGTGTGCAGAAATGAAATACTGTATAGCAAATATGGCTGAAATGAAGATAATGATAATATAAAGAGGTTTACCACAGTATAGCTTATAACCATATTTGCAGCTGTGTCAGACTTGTGATGTGCTGCTGACTAGTGTTTACTGTACAATTTTCTTGAGTCTGTTACAGGGAACTTGTGGTGTTAGTAATCTTTAGAAGTTTGTAGTCGCTTCATGCCAAACACAGAACTTAACATTGATGATATTAATATTTGAATACACATTAATGTGTATTAAAATATTTCTCATGTAATATCATCCCTGCTGAGTCACACACATTTAGTCTTCCTTCCTCTTTTGTCTTTGTCTAAAGTAACCTCTTATGACTGTGGCACCTTTTCTCTCTGCAATGATAACAAATTCTGCCCATGTTCAAAACTTTCTGCACATTCAGAATCTCTCCAACATATCTGTGTTCTCTGGCATGTCCAGAAAAAAAAGCCATTATATAGTATTTCGAGAATACATCATCATTTAATGAATTCATAATATTTTTAACAGTCTACCTGCTCTATACCCTGCTGTGCATAAGCTTGCGTTGTTGCTCTGCTGATTTGGCCCCTCAGACCATCAGCAGACACGGAACCGTTTGTGACTGTACTACTGGGAGAGGAGGTAGATAAACGAAACTAACTGAAAACACTTTTGATCAGGCAGAAATCTCACCACAAATGTTCACCTCAGCACCTCAGATAAAGTGCAGCTCACAGTCTCAAACAGAGGATGTTTGTGCTTCAGATTTTAGATGGTTATTTTGCAAAACTCTTTCAGTTATTTACCGCGACTGACAGCGCGAGACGCATCAGCTGGGTGACAGGCTATAGTGTTCACTTAAAGCGTCTTGCTTTAGCTACATTTGCGGATCCTGCACATCTGTATGGCCGATGTTTCAACCATACCATCGACAACATCAGGGGTGGGTTTATCAGATGACAAGTATGAAAGAGGTTTTAATGATAATACATTTATCGTGTAAATACATCTAAAAACGTTGGTATTCATATAAGACTGTAAAGTGTTGTACTTGATCACATTTAAGGGTCAAGGAGAAATTTGAAAAACATGAGCAAAAACAAATCAGTCACTGCTCTCTGATGCTAGAGTGGCAGTAGGGTACAGTTCCACTGGGTTGAATCATGTCCAGGAAAAGTATTTGAAGGAAAGCAACTAAGCAGTCGAACGATGGTCACTGAGATTTTAATGCCCAGGCCAAACTAAATGTTGCGCGTCGGTTGACTAAATCTCAGGGTTATAATCATGTTAGTAAACTGACAAGTAAGAGTGCTGCTGCTGTGCAGTCTGCCTCTGCTCCGCGGCCCTACTCGCTCGCATCCACAGACATACACACAGACGGCACTGTTTTTGAAAGGGAAAGGGAGACATGAGCCAGTACGGACATAAACCAAGAAAGATGAGACAGAAAAACCAAGACAGAGGTTAAGGCCATATACACTGAAAAATGCAGCATTCATTGGAGATCAAATACGTTTTCTATAGCAGAGCCATTTGAGTGACATCAACAAATCTAAAGAGGACGTCGGTTCATCCAGTATGCGGCAACCACCACAGCTGAATGCTGAAGCCATGCGGGAATTTCCAGATGAAGTACTAAGGAAGTACTTCCTCTAGTGGCCACTAGAGGCTAGCTCCATTAAGTTGTATGAAGTCACACGGAGAAATCCAACATATCTAAAGGTACAAAGCCACTGCACAGGAGAAAAGTTTATTTGGGGACAAAATGAAGGAATCCAAAATAACCACAAAAACAGCTCTTTGAGAACTTAATGAAATTAAAAAAGAAAGTGGGTCTAAACATGGGCGGGTTTAGAACTATTGAATGTGGGGGCCGACAGTTATAAGAAGAGAGGTCCATTTTTAAAACGAGTAAAATGTTTTAACCCAGGTTCTTCTCAATGATAAACTATACATTACTATAGTTAACCTGTTTATTTTGCGTTTTAGATCTCTTTATGGGATTATGTGTAGAGATTGTTATTTGTCTCTGTGTGGTTGTTTTGTGTCTTGCCTTATGTCTCATTTTACATCTCTTTGTTGTCATTTTTCATCTATTGTTGTTTTTGCCCCACTTTGTGGTCGTTGTGTGTTTCTTGCAGTCGTTTGATTGACTTTTCAACAAGAACCGTCATTTTGCATAGTGGATTGGTCCAGGGCCCTGGTCCTGTTCAGTAATCTTTGTACAACATAAAGAGCAGTGTAATAGTTAACCTTGCTGGCATAGAAGACATAGAAAGTATTGAAATTTAAAAATGTATATAATATAAAATATATATAAATAAAAATATAATTAAAAAATATTTAGTTTTTTTTAATTTGGATCCCTGTTAGTTTCTACAAAGTGGTTTATAGTCTCCATGGAGTCTAATTTCTGCTATTCCTCTACATGTAGCATGAGGTTATACATCACTGATATAAAACCATACTCTTGGCAAAGATTTGGAATGTTAAGGTCTACAAGTTTAAAAATAATTTGAAAATGTGTGACTGAAAATACTGAGAAAAAGCAAGTAGTGTAAGTAGAGTGCTTACACACATGCATTCATACATACAGAAAATCAGCTATATTGACTGTATTCTCTGGTGGTACAAAGCTGCAGCAGAGAGGCCTCTGAATCCTGTATCTCAGGTTAGCACAAACCTGTTTTCTAA